ACGTACTGAACTCATCAAACTAGCAACTATGGAAAGCATGTCATTAACCCTTGGAGTACCGGCCTCTTTTAACCGTGATTTTGATGACATGTGTTCTTTTTTAATAATCCTTTTACTTTTCAGCCAATATTTTCGTAAGATCTGACCTTTTCTTGTTTTATTCTATAGAAAAAAATGAGAACGATGTTCCTTATTTAGAACAATTAATACAAAAGACACGTTTGACAGAATGATCACTACAAACGAACGAAGAACAACTGAAACATTGAATTGATGTTTTCTTGTCCGTAGAACGTTCACAAATGGAGCACCTTTTTCGTTTTGGTTGAGTGGGATTTTCATTCGCTTCTGCCGGATCGTTCTTCGACACAGGATAACCGACGATTGCTAAAGCATTTAGAATATCTGTGTTCAAAAATTTCGAGTTCTTCGAACGAAAATCCAACAGATGCGATACCAGTGCTAATCCTAATTCTTCCAAAAATAATCGACGTTTATGATTTGTATTCTGATTCCATTGAGGATTTTTCACTTTCCAGACAATCAGAGCATTTATGGCAGCAATGTCTATCATCCCATAGAAAATACAAACTGGCCATCGCTTTGTACCTCGTTTTACCTGAAAAGTAAAATAAGCTATAGAAATACTGAAATATTTTTTACCGTGTATTTATGACACATTTGATCAACAGTATCGACAGCCCCCTTTGTTTTGTTATAATCCAATATAATGATCGGTTTTCCAGTTTTATTGTCCACTTGATTGTCGTGATGTTTTGAGGAGAGCAATAAAACAGCTTTATTCTGTTTTGGGACAAATGAAACTAAGGTTAAACCATCTTGGAAACCAAAGAGCGAAGAACCCACTTCACGATTTTCGTTGGATTGAAACTCGATAGGTATTTCTGACTTGTTTTTTCGCAGTGTTCCTATAAGAGTCAGATTCTTTGTTTGAAGCGTTTGGGCTAATGGAACACTTGTGAAGAAATTATCTATTGTAACGTTTCTTTGGAAGCCGTAAAGTGGTTTGAGTAATTCTAGAACGACTTTGGCACCTATCTGTGTTTGTCTTTGCTCATTCGGTTGTCGTCCAACGTAAGGAAATGCATTGAATACATAATGTGAGTCCACATCAACGCATAGCCAAAATTTTAATCCGTATTTGTCAGGCTTTTTTGGCATATATTGACGGAAGGAACATTTTCCTCTAAATCCTAGTAGTTGTTCATCAATAGTAACATTTGATCCCGGTGTGTAACATGTTTGTAAGCAATTTTGGAAATATGACCAGATTTCACGAATTGCTGCAAATTTATCTGTTCGTTTTCTTTCTTCCCTTGTTCTTTTGTCGTCAAATCTCAAACAAGAAATAATATCCTGAAAACGAGTTCTTGACATAGTGGCTTTGAATATTGGCGGTTCTAATGGACTTCTTCTCCATAAGCATTTCAGATCGATCTTCGATTTCCCCAATAAACCAGCAAGCAATAAAAGTCCAATAAATGCTTTCAATTCTATGAGTGTTATTTCTTCAATTTTTTTCGTGGAGGTATTCTTGTGAGTATACTCCAAGTTTGAACAATCCAAGATTTTTTCCAGAAGTTTGTTTGGCATAAAACACATGAATGCATCTTCGACAGATGAAATATTTTCACTGGTATTTGTAAGACCAGCTTTTTGAATAACATCATTCGAAAAATCATTTTTCGTTGAATGATGAGGAGTTGAGGACCAAATCATTCCAGAACGGGAAGTATACGAACTTTTCCATGTGGAGTCATCGTCTAATTTTAGGTTTTCTAAATCAATTTCATCATCATCGTCGGATGTTTGGCTTTCGCCATCTCCCGTTTCCGAACCGCTGTTTGCATCATCGAAATAATCACTGTCGCTTCCGGTTTCACTTGAACTGTCCATAATCTTTATGAAAAATATTTCAATGGATTGAAAATGCACACCCCTTTAGATCAGAGAATGACTCATTTTATTAGACATTAGAATTTTCATTGTTTCTCCGTTTTGTAAAAAACATATTACTGATACAATGTTTTACTAAGGGGGCGCACTAATATGGAGAAAGAATGTATTTCGTTCTAGATTCATTATCATATATCTCTTCGTAAAGGTTACTAGCTGCTGCTGAAAACTGCGAAACAACAAAACATGTTTAGCATTTTTCGGAGATTTCGAGCGTGGGGTCAAAAATGACCCCGGCTGGTACTCCAAGGGTTAAAGAAGCATTTTTCGAGTTATTGGCAATACTTTTATTTCACAAAGTAAAAAAATTAGAAAAATTTTCTGACAAACATCTAGATATGAATGTCTATAGTATGGTATTCTCAAGATGAATACTTTTCAGTTTATTTAATCAATCAAAGACATTCCTATCTTCAAAATTAATCTTGAATGTTTCATTATACAACTCATTTCCTTCGTATTTGTGTCCGCAGTCAAATTCTAGAAAACAATTAAGAATGAGCTTCTTCAGAATGGCTTTGATGCCGTTGATTGAGAGCGTGAAAAATAAAAAGTATGAATTAGATTTTGGCTTAATCGCTCAAAATGATTACAAAATTACTCGAATAGTTTAATTGATATTGCTTGTATAAAGAAAAATCGCAACATTATGTATCGTCGTTAAACCTAAA